ATTTTTTTACTGACAACGACGGTCCTAACCCCCCCCCCCCCCCCCCCAGGAAGAATCCATCATACCTGAATACTTTAATCAAATGGCCATACAATTGGAGACCATCGTTGTTAATAAACAAAGGAAAAGTTCAGAATCTTCAGAAAACATAAATATACTTTACGGTAAAGGACAAACAAACAAACCCCACATAACCCCACAAAATCGCGCAAAACAAAGAGTCAGGACTTAATCCCACAAAACTCCAGCAATAAATAAAGAACAAAGGCGTAAACCATGCATGCAAACACTAGAAACAGACAAGAAATAAGGATATATCAATGAAATTTCAAAAACTTAGTTAGATATAGATGAAATCTAAGAAATCGAAACCCTAGCATAAAAACCCTAAAATACGAAAAGAAAACTAAAAAATTGCAATACTAACATGAATAATATAGCAAAGACGAATCATTTTCATGGAGGAAGGTATTACCTTTATGGAATTTCTTCACTTCAAATCGGCTATGAACAAAGCTGTGAGAGTATTTTCATGTTCTAGATAGTTAGTGAGAGAAGAAATGAAACGGGAAAATGAAATGGATGAAAGGGGTATTATTTGGTTTATAAATGACGAGTCGCGCGTTATGGGTTGGTGGGTTTCATGGAGCGGGTCGTCTCTTATGTGCCTAGATTTAAAAGAGGCAAGGATGAATGCCACGTGGCACCTCCGTCTAAGTAAGGGCAGACTTGTTAGGATAGTTGGACGGCAGGGACTTTTATGGCCCAATAATATAACGCGGGACAATTTTAAATAATTTACCATAGACAGGGATATATCAGACCCTTTTCCGTTCTTTTTATCAGCTTGTACTTTTCTGGACTCTGACTTCTACTTTCATGATAAAAGGTGAATTATTGTGTATAGCTATGTTCAATTGAGCTACACGTATTGAAAGAGGATCAATTGAAATTTCTTGTCGGAAATTATATCATCCAAATAGGGTGAAATACATTTCATGTATATATAAAAAAAATTGATTTCCCTTGACGTAAAGAAAAGTCTGAAATTGAATGACAAAGGTGACAAAGAAGTTGTTTTATACCATTTGTTCGAATCTAAGTAGGCGTTAGGCAATAAATTTTGGAAGTTTTTTTCCAAACAAAAATTTCAAATATGTGTTTGTTTATAGAAAGTTTTTGGGAGATTTGAAAATCAAAACTTCAAATCCCAAATATAGGATCCGTTTGGCTATAGACTTTGCCAAATTTTTTCCAAATTTTTTTTAGCAAATACATGTTTGTTCATAAATTTTATCCGTATTTTAGCAAATTTTTGAAACTCAAAATCCGAATCCCAAAACCAGCTTTTGGCCTAAAATATTACTATTACATTTTCTAAAAATTGTCCCAAACTTTTGTATTTTATAAAAGAGCCCACCATTTATATTTTTGTAACAATGTTATTTCGTCTTCTCGGTCATCTAATAGTATATTATGTAGTTCATTATAAAAATGATAACTTTGTACCAAATTTATTTATGTTCAGGACTATGGTTTGTGGTAATGATAATGAATGTTATTGATAAATGTACCGTTGGTTATTTGTGATAGTTATTAGAACTTGTGGAAATAAGTCACGTTTCACGTTTTTTCAAAAAAAAAAAGTGAAATATGTTTTGAAAACTGATGTCCAAATTTTCATCTTCAAACCAAACTTCACCTAAATTAAATTTTTCAAAACAAATTTGAGAATTTATGGTCAAACGCTAGCATAGCTTTAGACCTTTTTTTAGGCCAAATCATGACAATTTGGAACTTTTTAGCAGAAAAAAATAGAGTACTTTTTAACATGTCAAAAGTAAAAACTTCACCCAAAATTCATGTCCAAACACATTTTAAATGTGACATTCGCGCACGCACAATTTTCTGAATTCTCGCATCAGAATTCATGGCTCCATTGCTAGCCTCATCATTGAATATGAAGCAACAAGATTCTCGTTGTTCTTGGTTTTGAAGGGCGTATAGCCATTGACCATTGTGTTGCTAAGAGAGTGCTACTAGACCAAGTCTGAACATCTCGTAGCACTATGAACATCCGGTAGTTGGAATTAAACTGATTTCTTATCCAAAAGGCCGAGAAAGGTATCAACATTTGTGCTTGGTATTTGAGGATAGTGATAGTAGACCCCCCCCCCCCCCCCCCAGATGTGGTGTATTCAAACTCGTATATTAATTTTTCTTTTTTCCTTTTCTCCTTTCACTACTAAAGCTTGTCTAGACATTTTCCTCCCAATCTTGTAGTGATCATCAGCCATTGACATGCCTTTTGTCTTTTTATAACCCTGTTGACTGAGCCCCTTTGGTATGCACCACAACTAATTTTACTAGGTACCTTTTACCTTTCCCCATCATACAAGTATCTGGGAACTCTATCCACCAAAACTTGAACAAATAGGAAGAAAACACTTAGTATTTTTGACCTCTGCAAGTATTTGAGCTTTAAGGTTGTGTGCAAGCACAATCAGGCCAATAGATGTTGAGTTGTGTCCCACATCGGTGGGCTATGGGTATCTTGATCTCCTTATATGGTCTTAGGCAATCCTCACCTCACAAGCTAATTTTTGGGGTTGAATTAGGCCCAAGTTCCATTCTTATCATGCTATCAGAGCCAGGCCCATCCCAATTTATTGTTACCGATGTTAGGGCCCCATTTATATTGTCCACACTCCAGTTGCAGGCCTGTGCATGAGGGGGGTGTTGAGTTGTGTCCCACATAGGTGGGTTATGGGTATCTTGGTCTCCTTATATGGTCTTAGGCAATCCTCACCTCACAAGCTAGCTTTTGGGGTTGAGTTAGGCCCAAGATCCAATTCTTATCAATATCAATAAAGTAGGTAAATGGAATATTCATTGAAATTGACGAATCTATTTCAGTTTTCATGTCATAAATGTCTAAATGACGAGGTACTTAAGCCGATAGAGTAGGCAAACAACATATAATAAAGAGATGGACAAAGAATGAACAGGACAAACAGACCTTTGAATCAGTTCAACAGAGAGATTGAATGAACTTCAGAAGAAACTTCCGCTTCAAAACATGTCAAAAATAATGCAATATTTCTTCAAATCATTCTCTACAAAAACTGTCCTCACAGAAAATAAAATACTTGAATCTTTATATCCGAACCTAAGAATAAGTGCAGTATTATAATCTCTACATGTTCTCTCAATAACCCCAGCACTCCACCAAGCTGCAAAATGGGGATTTGGAGGAGCCTCAAATTCAAGTGTAACAATCTGCAATTTATGAGGAATTAATGAGGTTGTATCTAAAGAAGACATCAAGATATAAAAGAGATGGAAACTGAAGCCTAGCAGGTAGTTAAAATTTTGATTAGAAAAAGGCTTAAAACCCTAAGGGCTAGTCTGTTCATATAATAAAACAATCAAGGCATTAATTAAACTTCGCTTTATAAGTATATTGTTTGGTTTCCGGCATACAACTCCTCAATGTTAATCTCCGATAACTAGTACCTGTATAACTTAAGTGAGAATCATTGTATTATTTTATACAAGGAAAAAATGGTGAAATGAGAATGGGTACTAGCATACGAGAATAAGATAATTCTTGGCTTTAATATCATAACAATCCCGTATTATTATCCACCGCATAATAATCTATGTATTGTTATTCACCATAAGATCCATGTAATATAATCTAAATAAGTAGTCTGAACAAAACGAACCATAAGTTTCCATCGCATCCAAGTATATGTACAGGCGAGTTTCGTTTAAACTAGTGATGTTACTGTATCCCACTATTCTTTGGTAACGATAGATATGAACATATAAATTGAAGCCAAAAGTAGTGGCTGCAACCGCATGTTCTGTCACAGGGCTACATCCACACGCAAGTATCTATAACCTAATCCATGGAACACCATAAGGAAACAGAGCAATTTTACCTTAAGAGTATCAGAATCCAAAAAGATTTTCCTATCTACACTAAGGAGTTGGGAAAGAACAGGGGAGGCAAAAAGTTTGCAGTATAGAGCTGCCACATTTCTAGATGATTAATACTGATATACCCATGTTCAGATATAAACATATTCCAACGCTTTCCAAATTGGACTTCAGAAGACTTAAAGAAGGGACCAAAGTTGAATTCATAAAACTTTCTAATTTACACACTCACCATATGATAGGTAAAGGAGATAGACAAAAAAACTAAACATCTTCTTTCCGCAAGAAGGAAAACACTTTTGGGGGCTGACAGTACTCTTTTGGATGGTTTAAATCGACTAGCAGACCACATCATGCTCAATCAAATAATGGACACTGACTACGATTTGGATTGTCTCCCCGGCTCAATGGAAAGACAACCCCGTTCTATACTTCATCAAGAAGAAAATCATGCCTTGTCTATTCCTCCAAATACCATTTGCCTTCCCACAGCCAACCAGCAAAACGACGAATTCAACCGCAAATACCCTTTAGCTAGCACATGCTAAAAAGACAGAGAACCCACTACCAATAAGGTTTTCTGCAAAAATGACACCCATGCATAGGTATGTTAGCTGTCACTGCTAATAGAACAATCATGATCCGCAGAATACACCACCACCCCGAAAAGGGTTTAGACAAAAAATGCACACAGGGGTATTTTAGCTATCAATGCTTCCAAGTATATTGTTATTTTAAGGATCAAACCTTCCAAGTATTGCCATTTTAAAAGTGTTCTACACAACTCTCCCAGGCCCCACTTGTGCGAATATACTGGGTTTGTTATTGACTATACAACTCTCACAGATATCAAGCCCATTCGCTGGATATTTAACGGTAATGGGATATGTTTACCTTTATATCAACTTTTTCAAACAACAGTTAGATATTTTATTCTATAACAAATATAATAGACAATTCATTTCTACTTCAGTCTCTATGCCTTGCTGAAGCCATGCCATATAATAGGTACCCATAGAATTAGTTTCTGAACAAAAACTACACAAGAAAAGGCCACCTAATTTAACCATCACGGGAAAACATAAGGTAAAACCAAAAAACGTTGTAAAATCTCTTTAAAGACGGGGAATATAAGATACCGGCATATCCAGGTCATACTAAATTCCGTTGGCCTGATCAAGTGCCTCCCTTCTGCTTGAGTGTTATCTTGTCCCCCAAGCTAAGCGCAATTCCTTGCGTTTTGCTCCTTATCCTAATATAACCACTCAGCTTACCATCTGCTTGTTTCTCAATGCTTACATTCACCAAAGCATCCTCACCAAACACACTCTTTGCATACAAGTTAGCAGCAAGGAACCCGCATTGCCCTTCCAAAGCAGACCTGAAATTTTAAATGAAAGCACATCCGGAGATATAGTGTCAATAAAGCCATGCATCACAAGGACAAATGACATTACTCAATATAACCAGATGAGTAACAGAAAAAAAATGAACCCGAAGGCCATTGTGGAGTTTGAAGCCATTAATTTAACAAACTCATTTTAAGCAGTTAAATTACATCCAACAGTGAAAGAAAACAATGGTACAAAGAAGAAACTAAACTCCAGTTCCAGTAACAACAAACTACCTATTTCCCCTAGATACATAACTAGTATGATCCCAATCTGGTCAAGTTTACCAATTTTCCCTTGATAAAGTAACATGTGCTATCCAACTCGTGATTCTTTCACAATTTCTGAATATACCAATACCAAAACTTTTCTGGGTGCGCAATGTAAAACCTGTAATTGGAATAGACAGATCCCCCCTGATACTCTGTTCTCACGACTTCTGAGACTACCTATCATTTGGAAAGCTCTGAGGTCTTAACAGTAACTGTTTTAGCAACTATGAAACCAATGGTCCTAATATCCTAAAGGAGGCTAAGAAGACTACTACTAAACAAATCCAATCCCAGCCATACACAAACACCATGATAGACATGAAGAGTCATTTAAGTACTTCCAGATTTTCACACAAGTAGACTTAAAAAGAAAACAAAACCCAGACACTTGTTTTTATGCGCACACATTCTTCGTATCCGTAATGGAAAATAATAAACACTTAGTTAAATACAACCTCGTTTCTCATCAATAATGAAGTTCTAAGTTTATACAGCAGAATAATCCTAGGGCTACAGGTCTTGTTACGAAGATAATACCTTACTCTTTTTTTTACTAATTGTCTCCAAAACAAGTTCTCTGTATCACAACTTTGGACTATGAAAAATAGGAAATGCAATAAACTAGAATTAGATGGTATGGGTATCAATCATGACAAAATCAAAAATTAGAAAACACAGACATAAAAACCAAGCACCAACCGTCCATATTTAGAGGAGGCAAGCGGATAACTTACAGTGCAGTAAGGCATTTCATGTTGGTTGATTTGATTATATGGTCAAGGAATTCTTTTTCCTCCTGAATGACAGTGTTGACAGCAACCTGCAATGCAGAAAGTTAGTGGCTCATTCTCAAGTGCTTATAAATATTTTTCATGTGGACATTGCTCCGCAACGTTGATGGTAAGACAAACAAAAGATTATTTCAAAGTTTAGAGACTAAACAGTGCATTGATTAATCAATAAACTCCATAAAGAGATCAACATTTACAAAATTAGCTTGAGAACTAGATCACTTTAAAGCCATTAATAATCTATAGAAGTTTTTAGTAAACCCATGCATAACCTAAATCTTGATCCCACATAAACCAAACCATAAGATTGTAAATCATCAAAAACAACAAAGAACGACTATACCAAATATTAATTTTCATTTCTCCAACAAAAAATGAGTTGAATGCCCGGAAAGAACTATTCAATGATGGTAAAATAGCAAGGAACAGCATCTTACCTTGTTTTCCCACTCAAATTCTGCCCACATGGTTCTAAAAGCAGCATCACTGCACACTGCAGGAGAGATGTAATCCATGATGTCAATATGGATATCGTTTAGCACAACCACTGTCCGCTCAAGCACATTAGAACTCTCATAAACAATGTTCCCAAAAATTACGCCCGTCTCAGTTGAAGACACCTTGATGTTTGCTTTTATCTGTTTGCTTGACTCAGGAGCAAGAGTATAATTCTGTGGACGCTCAACTAGTTTGAGATCACCCATTGTTGCCAATTCCAAACATAAATTCTGGAGGGTCTCTTTAGTTCTATTAATAACTGTCACATCCAGGACAATATCATAATGATGAACTGTCACGTATGCTTCAGCATAAACAGGATCACTAAATCCCGTGAGTTGCAGAACCCGATTTAGTCTATTAGCATCATTCTCATCCTTGACAAATTCTCCAGTGGCACGTTTCAAATCATCGTGGACTGCATCTTCCAACTCCAGCTGGCTCATGCCCTGGCAAATAGAAATGTATTTATGACATGGAGGAACAAATTTCAACTGCATTGAAGCACCAAAAAACAAAACACCACCTTTAACTAGATGACCTCTGCCATTATGTAGAAACGACTCAAGAAACATATATTAAAGAAAGAAAAAGAAACAATTCAAATGCAAACATTTGAGCTGTTGGTACATCATCACCCCCCCCCCCAAAAAAAAGTTCAAAAAAAGGAGCTATTTTAGTTTTTGAGTGACCTGCACTCTAAAATTGAAGTCGCAGCTGGTATTCATATTCAATTAAACTTTTGAGACTTGATGCTTAAAGAAACTTATGCAATGTGATATGCATGACTTTCTTAATGTGATTGAAACAGTAGTCCAAGAAACAAAAGGTAAAATTTGAAAGCTCTGGAAAAGCTGGAAATAAGCTAAGTCTGTCTTTGGATGGTGAAATAGCACTTAAAGCACCTTTTCTTAGAAGGTTGTGACAGGAAGATGGAAACGTGAGATAAAATAGCAAAGAAACCTACATCCATGCAAGATCTACAAAGCATAACGAATACACCGTAGGGATTACAGATAAAACCCTCATAATACGATTTACTGATCAGTTAAGATTAGGAGTGGCAAATTTTTTTTTTTTTTTGGGGGGGGGGGGGAATCGGATATGGGTCGGATCGAAAAGGGGTAACAAAAAAACGGGTTAAATTACCCGACCCATATTTAATACAGATTAAAAAATCGGGTTAACTGGCGGATAATATGGGTAACCATATTATCCATGACTTCTTGCATATGATCACTTTTGGGAGAATTCTTAGTCTCCCTAACTTGAGGAACCCCCAATTTGAGGCTTTACAAATGTAAAAGTTAGACCCATTGGTTACCCATTGGGTTTCCATTTTCTAAATGGATAATATGGTTCTTATCCATATTTGACCCGTTTTTAAAAAGTTCATTATCCAACCCATTTTTTAATGGATAATACGGGTGGTTAACTGTTTTCTTTTAACCATTTTGCCACCCCTAGTTAAGATAGTTCTCACAAATATATTAACTGAAGTATGAGAAAAGAGCTAAAGGAACCTCCTTGTTTATCAAACATATAACGTTCAAATAGAAGATTCTTACCCTCCTACTCTTCAAATGGTAGAAATCAATGAGGTCATCTGGCTGAGAGTGAGAAATTTGAGCCTTTGCTTTTATCTCTTCTGTCTCTCGCAGCTGCTTATCAGACAGCATTGTAACAAAACTTTCGTGGCAAGAGTTCAACCAGATCTTCCTGACCTCATTCCCAGTGTTACAGAGCAATCTTATGCACAGAATTATCCTATCATAGGAATCGTTATCAATTGGGTGTGGAAGAACTGAAGACTGCCCTAGCTGTATCATTGAGACCATGATCAGTAATGCATTAGTTGTTGCTTTGTTCACTTCAACTTTAGATGGCTGAACTTCTTCCAATCTCAAAATGAGCTTAGTCAGGGTGCAAGCAACAACTGCCCCGAGGAAGAAATCACCAGTTAGCAGAAGGGATCTCAGATTTCCAGTGGTCAAAGATCCTTGAACTACTGTCGCGGGTGAAAAAACAGTTTCAGAGGCAGCACTTTGAGTAGCATATGTCCCATCAGCAAGGACAGCAGGTCTTCTAGATGAAACAGTAGTGGAGTTTACTTGCTGAGACTTTTTCGAAGAATCATTAGCTTCACCTTTCTCAGAAACTGAATAAAATGGTAGATCACCAAGGCACTGCTTGATAGTTGCAATGCCACTCTCAACTTCAGAAAGAGATAGACAATACTCTCCAATGATCCAAAGGGCACATGAACAAACACGTGCAGCTCGAATTTGGTAGAAAGTATCCAGTAGCCTTGTCACAATGGAAACCCTTAATTTTGGGTTTGTTTCAATAATCTCACGGACAAAAACAACCACATCAATTGCAGAAGCAACATTGTTATCACCCAAGAAATCCATCAACAGATGGACAACTGTACTTGCGACTTCCGGAAACTTAACAGCACACGAATGAATGGCTTGGATAAGCATTTGACGGTACTCACCATTCTTCTCAAGTTCACCACTCTGGGTTTTCATAACTTCTTTCTTCAACGTGAGAACAACCTCATTGATATTACGGGGGGTGATCAACTCAAGAACAATGTCAAGTGTTTTTCTCCTGATGTCAAGGTTCGGACTTGAAAGCGCTCTGAGGACATCCATAATCATATCAACCATGATCTCCCTATGAGAAGATTTCAATTCATTCAGTCTATCAAGCACAATAAGCTTCACATTGTTGTCACTCTGAGATTGTAGAAGTTGACAATAGGTATTAGCTGCAGCTCTTATAGCGGTTGGGGCAGAAGACAAAGAAACTAGAGTCCCAGCACATTCATACACAACAGCAGCAGAAGGGACAATAAGTAGTGATATAATTATCTTGATGTACTTCCCTTTCTCCCCTTTGTTTGTCCTGCAAACTTTTCGGACCAAATCCAAGACAACCATCTGGAGTAACTCACCCCAATCAGATACTCTATCAACATGGGTCAAGAGATAATTGACAGCATGTTCCTGAGCACATTGGAAAAGCATCAGAAATGCGTTCCTTTTAGCAGATGGATCCTGCTCCGTGGTAAGGACGTTCTCAATCTTCTCTGGTGCATCTGCCAGGAGCTGCTCACCCTGTGGAAGCTTGTAAACAGCCATGACAGCAAGAATTGCATTTCTCCGCACATACGGATGCCGGTGCTCCAAGTTGCTCATAATAGATGGAATCAAAGGTTCAATTATATCAACCTCATGCAGCCGACAAAGGAATCTCAAAGTAACTCCACGAATGTACTCATTTGGATGCTGCAAGTTATTCCTCAAGTTCTGACAAATTAGGACCATTTCAGGCAGCATGCTCCCCTTAGAATCGGTCTTCTCAATAGTCTCCAGATACAGAAGCAGCAGCTTTTGAATCGTGTGATCCTCAGAGGGCAAGACATATCTAATAATAGTAATAAATAGCTGGGGTAGTGTTTCGCCATTCAACAAAAGCATGACGGCCTTCTTCATGGCATCAACCTTGGCAGGAACATCATTCCCTTCGAGGGCTTCCTTGATCTCATTGACAAGAGCTGGTGTGCCCTTATCAAAGTGTATCAGCAAAGAACAGGACTTCTCCATTTTATTCTAGTTGCTTACCTGAAACTTAAAGTTCCCCATAAGCTTCAAGATAACATATTATAACTTTTGACAAGAGAGAATAAAGTTGCAAAGGTCAGAAAAGAGTCCAACTTTAGTTTAGTCGAAACATTTAAATTACTCTAAGGCAGTTCAATATAAAAGACTACTCAACAATGATTCTTTGATTATAAAAGAACAAAGCCATTCAGAAAAGTCAATTTTTTCCATGGGGTGTGGTCCAGTGTCAATGAAGTGGGAGGAAAACCATGATGCCTCAGGTTCAAATCTCAGCGGAGGCAAAAAAATATTACCTAATCCTTGGTGGACAGAGTTACACGATCCCTGTGCTAGTGGGAGGCAGCAGGCACCCGGTGGACTAGTCGAGGTGCAGGGAAGCTGGCTCAGACACCACCGTCATTAAAAATTAAACTTTTAACAAAGTTTGTTAGATTTATAATAAATGTTACCAGCAGAATGAGGAGGTACAGTGGTATTAGATCACCACAGCCTAGTACCAGATTTTACTCTTCCACAAGTCACATCAATACTCAAATCACACTGCAGGGGCGGAAACACATGGAAAATGTGATCAACCAATCAATCAATCAATCAACAATCCCAATTCCAAATTAGATGGAGTAACGCTATCTGAATCGGGCATACAACGAGCTCTATGCATCGGGCATCTAGCTAAATGATACAATTGAATCACCCAACACTTCTAATCCAAAAATTAATCAAAATCATTAATGCTCAGCTCAGCATAGGCGGATCTAACCCTTCCCAACAAGTTTGGTTCTGAGCCCTCTGCTTTCAACTCGGATCATGTATACATTTTAAATAAAAACATATATAAATAAATGTGCAAACATAATACTAGTATACTACTTCCGAATCTACCGACTCCGAATTGTAAACTAGAAAGTGCAGTTCGGCGGCATAATTCAACAAGACAAATAGCCCTAACAATCAAATTCCGTAAAATAAAACAGAGAAACAGATCTAGGATGAGAAAAAAATTACATACCGGATAGAAATGCGGAAATGGTTGAATCGAAGTGAATCTTTTGAAGAGAATTTGGTAATGAGGAATTTGTGGGTTTTGAGGGTAAGGTGAGAGAAGGGGAGTCGGGAGAAATGGTGATCGGAGGGTGGGTGGTTTTAAGGAGGGAGAAAGTTTGGTGTCTTTACTCAGATCTGCGAGATCCGCAGAGTGAGTCTGGTATTTTGTATTTGTAACGAGTCTGGAGCAAAGCTTAAAACTAAGAAAAACATTAAATAAAAATAAAAAAGAATAGCTAACTAAGAACAAGAAAAAGAGGAGAAATATTATTGTTTGATTAGCCTCACATAGGGGTGTTCATGGTTCGGTTTGGATCGGTTCATGGTTCGGTTTGGATCAGTTTTTCTCTAAAAAGAAACCAAATTAAGTAAGTTAGTTTTTCAAGTATTAGAACCAAACCAAACCAATTAAGTCGGTTTTTTCTCGATTCGGTTTATGTCGGGTTTTGTCGGTTTTTCGGGTTTTTCGGTTATTTGTCGGTTTTTTCTTAAATATAAGATATACACTACCAAACACATACTCGGGTGACCACATTTTCAACGTAACACTATCAAATCAATTGCCATTTGAGAAATCTATTATTTACTAAAATATATTGATGATAATTGAATCAAATAGTGATGAATAATTTAAGGACTCAATTAAAAATATATTTTTAACATGAAATGGAATCTTACACTTAACAAAAGAAAACTACCAATCAAACTAGAATATAAAGGTAACAAAATATACTAAAAGTGCAAACGATTAATATTCACCATAAAAATTTTTGAAGCTTTGTATAAAAATATACATATATATAGGTGTAATAATAAATTTGAAATAGCTACACCTATAGTCGGTTTGGTTCGGTTTTTTCCGATTATTTTTGATTAAAACCAAAACCAAATCAAATTTGATCGGTTTTTAAAATTCTAAAACCAAAACCAAACCAAACCAAACCAAAAAGTAATCGAATTTTTTTGGTCGGTTTGATTTGATTTTCGGTTTGGTTCGGTTTTTCCGAATTTTTATGAACACCCCTAACCTCACATAAAATACAAAAATATGTATCATCCCTCGCTGTTATCGTTTTTTCTGCATAATTTACATTTGAAATATAGAGTCTAATAAGTATTCGAATTTGTAAGATGAGATCATGAATTGTTGGCAATTGAACTGTCGCATTACATTAATGTTTGGATATTTTTATCAACGTTTCACCTCCTCAAATCTTTGCTTTAACTAAAAGGTTTGAAGAGTATTAAGAAATTTTCTATTATTGCAATGCAATATATCCTTCGGATTGTGTGCCTTGTACTTTAATATTTTTATATTTTTTGAGTAAAATATTATATATCTCTGGCTAATAATACTATAAATCTCAATATCAATTGAAATCGGCCAAAAATGACCGCTGACCGCGTCGACCGACCGAGTTTTGATCGGTCAAAAAACGGCCAAAAAACAGATCAAAGTAGGTCGGTTTTTCAAAATATTTTATTTTTTAATTTTTTTACGAAACCGACCAACTTTGGACTCTTTTTTTTTGGCGCAAAAATGTGGGAAACTATTTTTGAGTCCCGCGAAATTTATTTTTCAAGAAACCGACAAACTTTGGTCATTTTTTATTTAAAATAAATTAAAACTAATATTAGAAAAATGACCGGAATCGGCCGGTCAATTTAAAAAATCGACCGAATTCGATCGGTAATTTTATTTTTTAATAAAATCGACCAACATCGGTCGGTTATTTTCGTGTGAAAATACAATAAAGAGTAGAAATGAAATAAAAGACAGTCTTAAAATAAAATGCATTAATTGTCTAGTGGTAGAATAGTATCCTGCCACAGTACAGACCTCGGTTCGATTCCCAAATGGTGTATTTTTTTAATTACATAACTAAAATACCCACCAACTTCGGTCGATTTTTCGGCATTTTCTTTTTTTGAATTTAAGTGACCGACCGAATCGGTCGGAAAAATCTGACAAAAATCGGTCGGTTAGCTCTACCGACTTTACATTATCGCCGCCACGAATCGTAGTTTGGTTTTTGGTTGTATTTTTGCCAATTACCGACCAACACCGGTCGTAGTTTTGGTCGGTTTCGGTTTTTCCCCGTACTTTTTTTAAATACTGTATTTCTATGGGTTCTTGTATGAATTAATGTAAGGCTATTTTGAGTATGTTGATCAATTTCATATAACTCCGAAGGTTGGCCTTACACTCTGTTTGGATCATTGTTTCTCATAGTTTTATAATGTATTGTATTGTATTGTATTGTATCATTTTATGATACAATGTTTGGATAGATTGTATTGTTTGTTATTGTTAAATAATATTTTGCTGTTTGGTTTGACTGTATCGTATTGTACTGTAACTGATAAGTTTACTAAAATACCCTCAATTGTTTAAATATTAAATTTATCAAAAATTATACATAAAAATAGTTTTAAAAAACAAAACAGAAGAAGGAAAAACACCTTAAGAAAGCATAACAAAGGAGCGAGACAGAAGAAGGCAAAATAAAGGAGCACAACTAATTAGAATTGAGTTAAAAGCAAATTAGGGGAAAAATCAAACAGAAGGCGGCAAAACACCTTTAATGTTGGCAGCAGAAGTTTTGGAAAAAATAAAAGCAGGCTATAGGTCGGAGATTTGGAGTTAAAATAGAAAAAAAGTTAAAGGGTAAAATAGAATTATGGAATAATAAGTTAGGGCATAATTGGAAAGAAAAATAGGAAACAATCCCACCACACCAAATCGGTTGTTTCAAAAAAGGGGACTTTCCACTGTTCCGGAACAATTGATTTAACAATACAATACAACCAATTTTAATGAAACAATCAAAACAAACATTATTTTGGGATAACAATACAATACGATACAATGGAAACAACCATCCAAACAAGCTGTTAATTAGAATTAGGTCTCACTACTTCATGGTTAGCTTGTCGGATTGTTTTTTAAATATAAAATAAGGTTCGCCATTTAAAAGTGTAGCTCAAATACGCGCCTCAAATCTTCGAGAGGATTCAATTTTTCCTTTTTGATATACGCATATATGGGGTAAATTCAGAATTTTAAGTCCATCCATGTATAAAGTAGATATGCACCAATTTCTTTCTGACAATAGTTTATAATATTATTAAAATTGTTCAATTATCTATGTACAATTGAGCTTCCACACACCACTATCATTGTTCAATCTTTTATATATTTATATGAGTGCATTGTAGGAGAGAACACTCTTAATATTATTTATGCCATTACTTTTTCGCTTCTTATTTAAGAGGCATAGTTTCTTGATACCTACATTAGAACATAAGAACTTAAGAAATGAGAAACTAGAAAGGTCTGGTATAATATTGATCATTATTGAAGGACGAAATAAAGTTATAAAAAGAATTGACCAACGCTATACAAAAGAATGTGACTCACATCTTGAGGAAGCCAAAAGTCTGGAAACATGAACTTCATCAGGATATTTATGGATTTTAATTGAGAATGTGTCACGACCCGAAATTCCTACCGTCGGGATCGTGATGGCGCCTAACATTTCCACTTGCTAGGCAAGCCGACGTTAGAGAATTATTAAGCCAATCCTTATTCAATTCAGTATATAACATATAAGCTAAAATGAAAGACGGCGAGTGCGGAATAATATAAAAACTTCAATATTTACTACCACCCGGATCTAGAGTCATAATTCACGACTTCTAGGATTTACTACAAATAAAAGTCTGAAAGGAGTACAACTGTTTGAATGAAAGAAACAGTAAAAACAGAAAAGATAGACGGGGACTTCAAGGTCTGATCAGAACGCCGACAGATCTACCTTGAGTCTCCGATGAACCAGTCTGAGCTGCTACACCTCTCGATCAGCGGGGACCAATACCAAAATCTGCACGAGAAGTACAGAGTGCAGTATCAGTACAATCGATCCCATGTACTGGTAAGTGTCGAGCCTAACTCAGCGAAGTAATGACGAGGCTATGACAAGACACCTACAATTAAACCTATGCAATTTAACGGTATATGTACAAAGATAAGGGCAAGTAAAAGCTAGACAAGTAATATCGGGAGGGGGACATGCTGAGGGGATCTCAAGATAAAGAATCATAGCAGTAATAAGAACTTGATCAACCGATATAGCTTGAACAAATAAGAACAAGTAACCACAGTAAAGGAAAATGCACGGCATCACCCTTCATGGTTTTACTCTCAACATCACCATATGAATCAATAGAAATGGCACGGCATCAACCTTCGTGCATTAACTCTCTCTCATAACATGGCACGGCATCACCCTTCGTGCATTAACACTCACAATATGGCACGACATCACCCTTCATGCATTAACACTCACAATATGGCACGACATCAACCTTCGTGCATTAACACTCTCCCTCACCAAATCAATGAACAATGACAACAGGGAGATAGAAATAACGAGAACAAATCTTACTTCAACATTTGATTCCACAGTGCCAACTGCCGCGCCCTCTTTTGATGACTCCTTTGAGAGAGTAGGGAAAAAGGAATTGGTTAGAGTCGCCACCTAACGGATTAAGGTGTGTTAGGGCACCTAGAGCAGATAACTCATGTTATACCAGTTTGCGTCTCCAGAGATCGGGTAAGGGCTCAAAATTACCTTGAGGGGAAGGTGTTAGGCACCCCTCGAGGTCCACAACGGTGGGTCCCGACTGAACTTAATTTATGAATTAGTCTAATAAGGAAGCTAGAGAATCACTTAATAGGGATGGGGGAGTCCTAAACTTTTTAGCCTAAAGGATCACCCCGTGCAACATAAATAATACTTCGTAACTCCCTCGAGTCGGGGTGTTACTCATATTATTCAGCGCGTACAGACTATCATCTCTTGCTACCCGGTCACTATCTTTAAGTTGTTACCTAAAGCACTATAATTGATTCCAGTTCAATTCCTATGCGTGCACTACCCGTCCCTTACCTATAGTCCTGGAGGCATTAGGACTTCTATTTGGGATAGTTATAGACTAAGCCTAGGTTGCTCAAAATGTAAAAGACTAGGCGACAAACAAAACATGTTAGGACTTGCAAATACGGGCTCATGTTTACCTCCGCACGTAAACAGCAAATGCACGCAATTAACAATCTTTATCGATCTTAAAATCCTACAGGCAGGATATCTATGTGAGAAGACAGATGTACAAAAACAATTTCA